TTTCACGAAATAATAAATACTCAAGAAAAGCCTTTTATGCTACAGACAAGTCAGGAAATCGACTTTTCTTGATTATTTATTATTTCGTGAAAGAAACGTTCGTTTGTCCTGAGACTTTTAGACTGCGACAAGGATCATAAGGGCTACATATGGGCAAAATTTCAGATCGAAACGATGTAATTTGATTTTTCGATGAATCCCTTGTCATAGGTAGAAAATCCAGTAAAATGCTCGTAACTCGGGAAGAAAGGCCTATGGGCCCATATCCTTTTAGGCTTTTTCTATTCTTATCAGGTCCTGCTTATGGGCAAAATATCAGCTCAAAAGCTCTGAATCACTTCGGATACCTCCCTCGTAAGTCAATTTAATCGTGTCAGGAATGAAATTTGATGACAGAATATTTAAATCAAATCAAAAGCTTAAACATGAATTGCACTTCTTATCAACTTTTATTAAACTCATGAGAAAATAAATGAATTAAAATTGGAATTAATCATCAGAAATCAATTAGAATGATTAGTAAAGTAGTAAGAGTCTCACTGAACAAATTATTAATGGATAATTGAAAATATTGAATATAGAGAAAAATAATTTTCTTCATTTTGATTTATTAATCTAATTTGTTCATGGTGAATTATAACTACTAGTGGTAGATTAAGCCAATGTGCTTCTTTCAGTATCAAACAGCAATTTCTTTTACTTATCAATGAGTCACTTCAGATTATTGCACAACAAGAACGTCTGTTTTTTTTTCTCTTTTTCTTTCTGTCGTAATGGCCCTTTTTTTACTTTCTCTCTATGGAAGTCTATAAAAAGGAGTTCTGTAATACAATACTTTTCATTTCTGTCTACCTTCGACAAGGTGTAACATGCTTCGAATCAAAGCTAACACAGAAGCAGAGCATCTTCATGATCAGATACAATGTGTACCTCTAAAGTATGTGAAGGTTGAAGCAACGATACGTTCGTTTGCTGCTGATGTAACCATAACACAGGTGTTTCAAAACGAGGAGAAGACGCCGATTGAAGCGGTCTATTGTTTTCCTATCGAAGAGCGAGCTGCTATCTACTCCTTTAGGGCTCATATTGATGATCGAGAAATCATTGCTGAGTTGAAAGAAAAGAAGGAAGCACAGCATGAATACATTAATGCTTTAAAGCAAAGTCATGGAGCTTATTTGTTGGAGCAAGATGAGAAATCCAATGATAATTTTATCGTTAATGTTGGTGCGTTGCCTCCATCAAAAGAATGTGTCATTACTATAGCTTATGTTTCCGAATTGGAATTCGTTCAGGGATCTACAATTCAATTCATAGTTCCAACAACTATTGCACCTCGTTATGATCCCGAAAAAGGTAGTATTTCATCACCAGCAAATACAAATTCTTTGTATGTTCAATCAAGCCCTTACACAATTGGATTTTATTGTCATATTGAAAAGATCGGACAACAGATTGCTCGGATAAGTTCAACGTCACATGCGATTGATGTTGATATGAACCAAACAGACTCTTATATAGTAACATTTAGTCAAGAAAATACATATTTAGACCGAGACATTCGAGTCAACATTGAACTAACGACAAAACATGATAGTACGTTTCTTGCTGTCGAATCTGGTGCTGTAATGGTCGCATTTGTTCCTACTGATGACAATTATTGTCAGCAAACGACATCAAATAATGAATTTATTTTTGTGGCTGATTGTAGTGGATCAATGGAGGACGAAAACAAGATTGGACTTGCTCGAGAAGCTATGTTAATCTTTCTCAAAAGTCTACCGATCAATTGTCATTTCAACATAATTTGTTTTGGTTCAGATTATGAAAGTCTTTTCGAAAAACATACTGCAGTCTATAATGAAGAAAATGTTCGAAAAGCCGAGAAGCTCATTGAACAAATGAAAGCCGATATGGGTGGTACTGAATTGGTAAGTATTTTTCTTCTTTGATTTTTCTCATGTTGTATCTGTTGGATCAATGTAGCTGCGACCGTTGCAATGGCTTGAACAACAAGCACCTGATCCAGGACGAGGACGTCAGATTTTTCTTCTGACCGATGGAGAGATTTCGAATGTTTCAGAAGTACTCGAACTGTGCCGATCAATAGCTTCAACCAGTCGAATTTTTTCATTTGGTCTGGGTCAATCACCAAGTCGTTCTTTGGTTAAAGGTCTTGCTCGATCGACCAACGGTCAATATATTTTTATTCCACCAAATACGAGTGTTGATGTTCCAGTGTGTGAACAATTACGCAGGGCTCTTCAACCTTGCATTACCAATGTGCACATCAAATGGAATCTAGGAGTTGAAGTTCAGAATGCTCCAAGGCAATTACCTCCAGTCTATTTCAACGATCGACTCATCGCCTATGGTCTCATTGATGATAAAACTGCTCCATTTAATCATGATTCTTCTGTTGAACTCGAAATTCATCCAGATCATCATCGATTAGCCATAGCTCAAGTCAATCGAGTGCCAACTGTGAGCGACAACGGAACAATTGCACGTCTCGCTGCAAAAGCACTCATTCTTGAGTTACAACACGAGAAAGTCGCATCGAAAGGAGCCACGGTGCAACCGCGATTTCAAGCTATGTCACTACCGGACGAAAAAGAAATGATGTCGATGAAACAGCAAATCATCGCATTATCTCTCAAATACAGTATTTTAAGTCCATACACCGCTTTTGTTGGCATTGAGACACGAATTAATGAAAACAACAGTGACATGGTTTTACGTGAAGTGCCAATACAAATATCTATGGATGATCAATCTTCACAATCGATCCATCCGCCATTGCTCACTATTGCATTATCAAGTTATTCACCAAGTTATTCACCTACTTCGCCATGTTATTCACCTACTTCACCATGTTATTCACCTACTTCACCACTGTACATGCCATCGTTGTCGAATGCCGTATCTTATTCGCCGAGATACATAATAAGTTCATCAAATACAGGTACAACGACGAATGACGATGAAGTCTGTTCTTGGAATTCTTCTGGCGACTTAAATGACATGATTGGCAAGGATTCGACGTCAACCAACGTGAAGAGAAGAAAGTACGATACAGATGAAAAATGGCCCAATAATGATCAAGATATTGTTCGTCACTTGATCAGGAAGCAAACGTTCGATGGTCTCTGGAATATGGACGCTGAGAATATTGAACATTTGACTCGAACATCTCTAGCAGAATTTCAATCGAAATATTCTCAAATCGATTGTAAAATTCTTGTCTCAATCATTGTCGTTGCTGTACTGGAAAAAAAATTCAAAACTTTCGAATTATTGTGGTATGCTGTTGTACAAAAAGCTCGTAAACATCTCGCCGATCTGCTTGAGAGCCAATCGAAGGATTTCAATGTATTACTAGCTGAAATTTTTCAAGAACTATGAACAAAAATGACTTATATGAAAACTTTGAATTTATGTGACAATATCATGAGTCTATTCAAAGAAATAAATACACTAGAAATCCAATTTATTTTTTTTTTGAATATCCACAACAGTCAGTTTATTTTGTTTTTACTCGCGCTTGTAAAATGAGAGAATAACCAATATGAGTTCTTTACTTTAACAAGTAAAGTGTGAATAGTCAAATGCTTAGTTCAGTCAAATTGATGACTTCAAGCTTGATCATGAATTGGCTCGATAGTCGACTTGAATAATGCAAATAATTGTTCAAAATAAGCGCTTTATTACGTTTTTGATTCATAATTAAACAGAGACGAAAGAAGAAAAGAAAATTAAACAGACAACTATTTTATCTTCACACCTTAAAAAAGTTCAACAATATAAGTGTTTCTTTCAGAGTTTAGCTTTTTTATGTACTTTCTTTTAAAATCATACTCACTTTGTGTCGAACAATACGACTGATGAATTTCATTTCTAAACAGTGACGGATCTAGAATTTTTGAAGGGGGNTTGAATTTTCGGATGTTGATATTCATAAAAAACTTTTAATCTAAATTGTAAGTCAAACGACTAATGATGTTACAAAAATTCTTCTTCTACTTTTCAATTTTTTTTCTTTTTTCAAAAATAATGAAAAAAATTAATTTCAGGATAAGAGTTTCCTCATTGTACGTTTACGATCGCGATCATATCTAAAAAATAGAGCAAATGAATTACAGCTCGAGCAAATGAGCTAATTTTTTTGTCAAGGATAGAAGTATATTCAAGGTTTATATCTATAAAGACATGCCTAGAGAGACCCTTTTGTTATGTATTACTATTGACCTGAACAAAAAACAATTTACTTTTATTACAGATTGAAAAAAAGCCAATATACTTAACAAAGGGTCTCGCTAGGCATGTCTTTATGGATATAAAGCTAGAACATGTCTCTATCACTAGTAAAAAATTCAGCTCGTTCGCTCGAGTCGTAATGGAGATTTTCAATTTTTTCTTCAGTTAACTGACTTTTGCGCCATCGTATATATTGTTTTTTTATCTGTGAAAAAAGTCAAATTTTTTTGTTGAGATCACTGGTGACGCTTACCAAATGATTTCTTTAGGCATTTCTTTATGGATATAAACCTTGAACATACCTCTATCCTTGATAAAAAAATCAGTTCGTTTGCTTGAGCCGTAATGGAGATATTCAGTTTTTTTTCCGGTAAGGTGACTTTTGGACCATCCTGTATTGGTTGTGGATGTGGGTGTAGGTGTGGATGGGTGTGGGTGGGGTGTGGGTGTGGGTGTGGGTGTTTCTTTTGTCTTTAATCACATACACCCACACCCACCTCACAGCCCTCACACCCACACCCACACCCACACCCTATTTGGCGTGGTATTCGAGGTGACGTGTACCATCAATACAACATTGATCAAGTATGGTGGGGTGTGAGTTCATGCACAGAAACAATGCAAGTTATGGAACGATTTGTTGGTCGTTCGGGTGTGCGTACCTTGTTTACTATCGAGTGTATTTCTGGAAAAGCTATTGGAGCACATTCGTTTTATAAAAATGACAACGAAATCGTTCTTATATCCGGTACTTATCTTCGTGTCATAGATGAATGGAGTCCAAATGAAAATTTATATATGATTCATTTACGTGAGGAAAATCCACTATATCAATTTATTGCACCTCCATTTAGCAAGGAATCTACTTCGATGAAAGGTAAGAATTGTCATAATTGGTCAACTATAGTGTATCATTATCAGAACATTCTCTTTTTGATAGAGCTAATGCAAAGCATTACTTGCTTTGTTAGAAACCTTGAGGAAATTGATTATAAATTTAGAAAAGTTCGAATAGCATTTGTCCTTTAGCATTTTTCAATGATTTATGATGACCTTTTTTTATTTATTTGCAAAGTGTAGATAACAGTACACTCCATCATATGAGATGATCTCTAGAGAAGCATTGTTCTGGTTTTATCTAAATGTGGCCTTACTAGACACTTCGCTCTTAGCAGTGTCTAAAAACATTTTTTTAATGGGAGTACAATTTCGAGTTTTGTTCTCTACTCTTAATTAGTCACGAACCGATTCGAAACAAGGTAATCGAACATGTTGAATAGTCTAGCAATAGTACTTTTTAATACCAACTGTACTTAAAAGTATATCATATTCACATTTTATTCGAAAAATTTTCTCTATTGAAATAACTTTTTGAACAAGTTATTATATTCTCTCATACCGTCTCAAATACACAGTTATGCTGAACTTTGGAAACGAAAAACGGAAGAGATACTAAAAAAGCTTCACCTTGTTTCAGAATATATCAAGGAGGATACCTAGTTAATACTTGAACTAATATCCAACACAAAATTGAAAAGCATGACAAAAGGTATATGTGCAGAGTGATAGTAAACTTCAACTGTTTTCAGAATAGTTATATAATTACTATTCTGAAAATGTATTTTTATAGTGGCAGTATATTTAGAAAATCGAATCTTTAAATTAAGTTTTTGTTTTGTAATCGATCTCATTTTAGAAGCAGATTTGATTAAAGACTTGGGACATTCAGAATATCGACCACGCTTAATCAATTTGGCTGGTAGAAAGCTGACCGATACAGATATTGAAAAGATTGTAAAAGACAAAACCATCAATACTTACTGCACACAATTAAACCTATCAGGAAATAATCTGACATGGTGTGGGTGTTGGACCATTGCTAATACATTGCGAACTAATACAGTAAGACAAGCAATCTATTTATTTAACATATATTGACTCTAGTCCTCAATACTAACTAGACTCTAATTCAATTGAATCTCTCAGAAAATCAAATTTTACATGAGAGTGCAAAATATCTTGCCGATGCATTATTCGAAAATACGGTAGGCACGATTCCCACTTGTTGATTGATTCGATATTTGAGTTTATTTATGTACTATAGGTACTTACGCAACTGAATCTAGGATCAAGTCAAATAAAAGATAATGGAGTACATCATCTAACTGATGCATTACAACAAAACACAGTTGAGGATTATATTTTCAATAATTAAATATCTCTTTATTGTTTAATATAGACACTAACTCAATTGAATCTCGAACAGAATGGCATCACCGACAAAGGTGCATATTATTTGGCTGATGTATTTAGAGCTAAACGGGTATAAAATATTATCTGTGTTTCTTTTAAAGAAATTTGATTATTTGATTTGTAGAAACTTACTAAACTTCATCTCGGAGCAAATGAAATCACTGAGAGAGGAATGAAATATCTTGCTGATGCATTAAGAAACAATCGAGTAAGAGCATTGACTACTTTTAACAACATATTGGAATTGATTATCTGATGCAGACACTTACTGAATTGAATTTTAAACAGAATGAAATAGCGGATGAGGGAGTGGAATATTTGACCGACGCCTTAAAAACTAATCGAGTACGAAAACTTATCTTTCGTTTCAATTGTATAATGTGAATTAGTTTCAACATAGACACTCATTCAATTAGATCATACATCGAATAAAATAACAGAGAAAGAAATACAATATTTGGCTGATGCATTGCGAAGTAACAAGGCAAGAGTGATCATATTGTTATATAATTCATATAGATAAGTTGTTTCTTATTATGATGCAGACTCTCATGCAATTAGATCTTGATTCGAATAAAATAACAGAAAAAGAAGGATTATACTTCTCTAATGCTTTACGAAATAATAGGGTATAAGAAAATAATTGATTATTTGTTTCATACTAATACTTCGTTTCTTAACATAGGCACTCATTCGTCTCGATCTTAATAGTAATCAAATCGCTGACAAAGGACTGAAACATATCGCTGATGGATTACGAAATAATACAGTGAGTGATATTGCATCCTCATCCTCATCATTATCATCTTCATTTTTATTCTTTGTTGTTTGACGAAAAGACCTTGACACAACTCGATCTTGCATTCAATAGAATTACAGACATTGGAGTACAACATCTCACTGATACATTGACAACTAAGAGAGTGAGCAAAGTTATGCTTCATAGATCTCATTCACTTTGAAGTCATTAGATACAAAGACTTGCTCGACTGGGCCTTGGAAGAAACGAAATTACAGATAATGGAGTACAATATTTGAGTGAAGCACTATTTGTCAATCGGGTTAGAAATATTCCAAACTCTATCATTGTCTTCAGACTTTTTCACATTATTTTACATAGAAACTCATTCAACTAAATCTTGAATTGAATAAAATTTCAGAAAAAGGAGCTCAACGTTTAACTGATGCTTTAAGAGTTAACAAAGTAAATATACATGGCATCGATATCTATCTCAAATTGACAGTACATATTTCTAACAGACACTGACAGAACTAAACATTGGATCAAATAAAATTGCAAATAAAGGAATGCAACATATAGCAACTTTATTACGAATCAACAAGGTACTAAAAATGAGTTTACTGCATATGTTTCATATTGTCATGAACTATTCAATGTAGACTATTACTCGATTAGATCTTAGCGGTAATCAAATTACACAGAATGGCATAGAGCAGTTAGCTGCTGCATTACATAATAATATGGTGACGAATATTGTTTTTCATATGTTTTGTATAGTTAGATGTTCATTATTTGGTCTAGAATCTCACTGAGCTTAATCTTTGGTGCAATCCTATAATGGACGAAGGAGTACAATATCTGGCTAATGCGTTGGCAAATAATAATCGAGTAAACAAACGATATGTGTTTATCTCTTGATTTTCTTGTTTTTCTTTTGAACGTAGACAATTACTAATCTAGATCTTGAGCGAAGCGAAATTACAGAACAAGGTGCTAAACATTTGACTTTTGCATTATACAGTAATACAGTAAGATCGCTATGTCCTTTGTTTCATATCTTATTAATTATGTATAATAGAGCCTAACACAACTTAGCCTCTGGGACAATCAAATAGGGGATAGAGGCGCACAATATCTAGCTAAGAGACCTTGTTCATTAACAAAGTACGAGATATTGTCTCTTAATCTGATTGATTACTTAATTATTATTATTTGGCATAGACGCTCACTCAGTTAGACGTTGGAAAGAATGAAATTACACATGATGGAGCACTGAAACTAGCTGATGCTTTACGAAGTAACAGAGTATGGAAAATTATCTCTTAAGCTACTGGTAGTTCGTTACTTATTTATTAATTATGATAGACACTCATTCGCTTGGAACTTGAATGGAATCAAATCAAACAAGAAGGAGCACAATGCTTGACCGATGCCTTACAAGTTAATCAGGTAACATATATATATATATATATATATATATATCAGATCTTATTTATTTTTAATTCGATATTTTTGTTTTTTTGGTAACAGACACTTATTCGTTTGAACGTGTCGAACAATCAAATTACAGAAGAGGGGGCAACAGCAGCTCATTGATGCATTGCAAAATAATATGGTGAGAAACTTCGTGTCCCCATGTATTCTGTTCTAATGTTATTCTTTGAAACAGACACTCAATCTCTTACTTTGGTAGCATGGGAATCAGTTAAAATCTATTGCTTCTTTCTGTAACTATACAAATCTAATCGATTCAGTTCTTGAAATAAATTCGTCGATTTCATTGAATTTCAAACTCACATTCTCAAAAATCAAGTAATGATTGAGTTTCTCGAGTGAGACTGTGACAAGGAGGTATTTTCACGGAGAAAATTCAATCATTTGATATAGAATACAGAAAAGTGATCGTTATTAAAGAAAAAGTCATATTTTGATTTCTTCAATGATTTTTTATTTCATCAACTTTATTGAATGGATCATTTCAACGCGGGAACCATTTCTGTTGATCAGTGACAGTTTTACATTCTTGTGTTGATTGTTTTGCAATGAAAGAATAGATCAATAGAAGTTCGAACTATGTTTGAATAAACGAAAGTATCATTTTCTTTTTCTTTCTATTCTTTTTTCATACTTGATTCTGTGTTGTTCCTATATTTGACTAGTGACCCACGGCAAATTAGATAAAGTTATGAAATATTTTTTTAAAGACACTGAATGATAAATTGAAAACATTATTTGCGACCCAAAATACACGATATTTTTCTGTTCAAACAGAAGGCTGTATTCAAGTACTGAGTTTATAGTATGACGATCGATAGTTTGAGAAGAAGCTCACTGTCTCACATCTGATTTTCATTATCTCACTAAGCGGATGAAAATCAATGTTGCTGTCACCTTACGCAATTTCGACAACTCAGAATGAAAACAAAAAAAAATAAGTCTATAGCAGCGAGTAGTTTCGATCTACCGACCTCTGAGTTATGAGCCCAGCACGCTTCCACTGCGCCACGCTGCTGACTGATCATAATATCCTTTCTTAATTTAATCCGATAATTATTCAATAAAAAAACATGTACAACATATCGAATATTGTTTTCTTTTTTGAAACAACAAGGAAAATATGGTGATTTTAATTACAAAACTGCATCACGTTATATTTAAGATGATAAGACCAAGTAGTAGTACTCAGGTACTACCATCTACACATGTCATTAGTAGATCAATAACATTGTTTATGATAAAAGAAACTCTTTAATTTTGCCTTATTCTTTAATTACATTGTATGATTTTGATGATCTTCCCATTGCTATATTCTTTCTTTCTCAAACAAGTGATTACCATTCGTACTCCACCGAAAAGAGACATATATCTATAGTAAAAAAAAGTTCTATATTCATGTTAATTATGACTGTTTAGATGTTCAGATGACGAAAATAGTAATGGATTTCCCGAGCATCAAACATACAACTGTCAACATGTTTTGTTTTTATTTTTTATTTTCAATAAAGCATTCTTGTCATTTAAAAACAACGGTTTAATAAACATAGTAAAACATTTATTTTACATGTAGTTCGAATTTTCAACATAATCCAATGTAATAATTATTGTAATAAAAATGAAATATATGTTGTGCAAGAAAATATTC